GCTAGAAGCTCAACGCACAGCATGTGAAGTTTATAGTGATAGAGACTATTAGGTTACATGCTTACTGACTAGACACACCACCAGGTATATATAATGTGTTTCATGTCAGCCTCCTGTGCCCTACCATGAATGACCTGTTCCCGAGCTAGTTAAATAATGATTACCAACCGCCCCCTAAGCTAGTTAAAGGCAAAGCCAAATACGCAGTTAAAGAGATCCTAGGGGAATGTGAAAGGCGCATTAGGTGAGGCTACTGCATGGAGTACTTAGTTAAATAGATAGGCTATGAATGCCCTACATAAGAGCCTGCTATCAACCTTGCTGACATAGCAGCACTTAAGGCCTGGGGGAGCCGCCACCCCAGTAGGGAAAGGGGGGGAGTAGTGTAGTAGGCAGGGCCCACTGGGTGCTTAGGCTGTTTAATCAAATTATACAGCCCTCGCGAAGTCATATCCAAACTGGACACCAGCTGCAGGCCATGTGACCTTGTACTAATTAATGTAGTAATCTGCCCAGTCATGTGACTGCGAGAACCATTCGCTCACTCCTTTTTATGTTTGGCCGCCGCGGCCCTAGCTAGATTTCTTCCTTAGCGATTTCTTACCGTCCAAACCTAGGTCATAGGTTGAACCGGCTTCTAGCCCGTGACATCTATCTCTATCTAAATTAGTAGAGCTAAATTAAAGTGCTATAATAGTAGTGCTGCCTAAAAGGCTATAATAAATCTTTAAAATATAAGCTTTTTAATAAGTTTAAACTTTATTAATCCTAGTTTCTTTCCTTTCTTCATTCCTCTTAGGAGATTAGTTAAAGGTAAAGCAATTAGGGAATAGTTTTTAATAAATTATTAATAGAAGTTATAGAAGCCTAAGAAGACTTAGATATTATAATAACTATAGGGTTCCTCCTATATAATAATAGTTTCTACCCAGCTTATATTTATAGATATACTATTAGCTGAGATAATATACCCTAGGAATTTAATATGATTTTAGTAGAAGGTGTATTTAGAGGGTTTAGCATAAAGTTTTGCCTTTTATAGTTTTTCTAAGACTTAAGAGATATATTCAGTGTGTTCCTCTCTTATCTAAGAGAAAATCAGGATATTATTAAGATAGGCTACATAAAAGATATTAAGAATATTATATAAGGTGGTGTTAATGTAATTCTAGAAGGTGGCTAGTGCATTTATAAGGCTAAAAGGCATAACTATATACTCATAGTAGCTATATTAGGTATAAAAGGCTGTCTTCTATTCATCTCCTTCTTTAATGTGGATTTAATAGTATATATCTTAAATATTAATTTTGCTAAAGTATTTAGCCCCTAAGATTTAGTCAAGAATCTCTAATATAAGGGGTAATAGGTACTAATTCTTCACTATTATCTAGTTAAGTCTATAGTAATTAATATATAGTCTTAGTCCCTTATCTTTCTTTAGGATAAAAAGGATAGGAGCTCCTATAGGGCTTTTAGAAGGTTAAATTCTTCTATATATAATATTCTTATTAAGATACTCCTTTAATTCATGAAGTTCCGCTTGGGATAAGGGATATAGTAGGCTAAATAGTAGTAATTTATTAGGTTTTATTTTAATAGTGTGATCCCAAGAAGAGTAAGAAGGTATAATCTTTAACTTTTCTACTAAGAATATATTATAGAACTTAGCTAGTTCTGGAGGTATATTCTTAAGAGAATAGTACTTCTAGTTCTTCTCTTCCTTAGAAAGCTATACCTCTTTAGGTAATTTAACTAATATAAATACTGTTATATAGTTATAATATAGCTTCTTAAACTTCTATAGAGCTATTAGAGAGAAGGTAGGTGTTTTAAACCACTATTAGTGATTCTATAGTAATAGGTAAATGCAGAGGTCCTATAATATAGTTATTAAAAAAAGGATAGGACTCCCTTTAGGTTGTGGGTCTTAATTAATAGCTATATAAGCTTATTTAAAGCTTTGCCTAATGCCCCTAGAATCATGGGTAATAATAGGAACCTTCTAAACCCTATAAGTAGGAGTAATAAAGTTATTAACTACCTTAATAATAGGGGTAGTAAGTTTAGCTTACTATAGCTTTTATGATTTTATAAAAGCAATGCTAATAATATTAATCTTAGTATAGCTATTAAGATTAGTATGTATTTTAAGGTTGTTAGCTAGCTATATTAGAATATAGAAATAAGTAGTAGTCCCTACTGCTAGGTAGAAGGTTAGAGGTGTAGGTTTTACTCTAACCCCTTATTATTTTCTATAATTAATTAGACTTTAGCATCCCTTGCAATGCACTAGTTAGCAAGATGTTCTTTACTACTATATTTATAGTATTTTAAGGGATTCCCATCCTTATTAAGTTGATTTTATTTAGGTTTTATAAACCTCTCAGAATTCCTTTGAAAGTGTTTTAATAGGTTACTATCTTAAGATTTCCCTTCTTAAGGCTTTCCAATGTCTTTTCTCTTCTGTTTCTATTATTTCTATTATATCTATAAAAAGGTGTGGTATTTTAAAGCTACAGATACCATTTTATCTTAAGTATCTAGTAGTTTATTAAGGTGTTCTTAAATATAAGTATATAACTCTAGTGTAAGGCTGCTAAAGAAGGCCAGAGCTTATTACTTTTTATCTTATTAAGGGAAATATTATTCTAGAGAATCTAGATAATAATAAAATTCTCTAGGGTCCTTATCTGGGTGTTAATAGGCCTGATATAATTTAATAATAATATTAGCCTTAATAGTTTCAGTGTCTTAGATCAAGCTTAAGGTCTAGTCTTTAAAAAACTGCTATGAATCCTTAGCATTTCATTATCTTTCTATTAATATTTTATAAATTTTAATATACTATTACTGCCTGCAGGTGGAATCCATTTATGTAATAGCAGTAATAATTTTAAACTTATTAGGGGTATATTTCTTTAGGGCTCCTTAGAATATATATTCCATATCTTAGAGCTATTCTTCTCTTTTCTAGAGTGAATATTTAATAGTAAAGATAGGAAGATTCTTAAATTTAATTTCCTACCTATCTTCTGTTAAAGAGGTGTCATTTTAATGGGAAAGTTATTTAAACTTATCAACTCTTTAAATCTGTTGAAGGCGTTCAAGTTCAGTAATTTATTATAGGATTTGTTGTATTTCAGCACCCTTTAACTCTTGAGGTTAATTAGTAGGGGTAGAGGAGTTGCTTAGATTAGGAGATATTTCTTTAATGGGATCATATTATTCTACTAGCAAAGGGGTAGAAGTAATAGCTTCATGGTGAAAATTAGCAGGCATTATAATCAATACTTAAGTAGTTAAAGAGAGAAGGATTAGAAATTGTAAGGATCTATGTATCAGGGTAGATGGCCTGTTGACTAGGTAAGAATTGGTAATAATCATCAATGGAAGAGGATGGTAGAGAGTAGTAGATTATATAAAAATAAAAACTAATCCTTATCTTCTCAAATACCAGACAAGGGGAATACTATTTATCTTTGCTATCTATCCTAGATGCATTCAGTGATGATTCGAAAGCGGCTCAAGGTGTGAAAACAGGAGGTTGAAAATAATTAGGAAGCAAGGGGTGGCTGCATAATTGAGTGGCTGGGCTGCAGCTGAGCCTTTACATGCCAGATTTAGGCATTGTGGAATCTAACTCAAGTTAGATTATAGCCAGATATAGTCAAAGAAATAAGAGAACACTATATACTGTCTAGGAGATTAAATCTAACCTGAGTTAGATTTAATTAAATTAATTAAGGCTAATCATAGTGTTCTGTACACATGGAAAAAGGGAAGATGGTGAGGCTCTATACATAATAGGAGGTGTCTATATATAAAGTAGGTGGTTTATGCAGTAAATAGGGGTCTATACATAAATAAAAATAAATAAGAAGGAGAGTTTGATTAAGTATAAAGAATTATAAGATATTATTATATATACATGCTTGCCTATTATTCTATAACTACAGCTTATTTAAGGCTTGAAGTGAATAGAAGTGAATAATTTATGGGTAGTAGTGTGTTCTTTATTTAACTTAGAGTCTTCAAGTTCAAGAAATATATACTTAATATTCACTATAAAGAACCAGTGATTCTAATATATTTATTATAGATAAGGTTCCCCTCTGGAAACCTGCATGAAAATCTAACTTAGGTTAGACTTCTATACCTTATATATATTATACTACTTCATTAATGCTTTATAATAGAGGTTTAGCTCAATTAATATAATACTTATTTATTTATTTATATTTATTAAATATTAGTATGGTTTTACATGTTAAATATTGCTTAGCGGGTTCGCGGGCCCAACCCAGCCTATACTAACTAGATTTAGTAGGCGGAGAATAACATCCTTGGCAGAATAGAACCCAGCGGGTTCTAGATAGTCAACCCGCCAGGTTATGGGCAGGGTTTAGGCCCTAGAAATCTACAACCCAAACCCGCTGGGTTGGGTTCAAAAGATGGCATAACCCGGCCCAACCCGCGAAAATAACAACCCTAGCTTAACCTGATTCAATTGCTTACACATCACTTATTGGACTTCTGACCCTTCCCATTTCCCTGGAGCAACACTCAAGACATCATATTTAATATATATTTTGGAAGCACTGCCGGAGCTTAGAAGGTCAAAGATAATTTAAAGCCTCAGTGATTCAGTATGAGCAACTTGCTATAGAGACGCAGAGCCACTGTCAAAGGGTTGAATTTAAATGCTTAAGTCACTCTTTTAAGAACACTAGGCTGCAGTGTTAGCTATATTAATAGCCATAAGCTCTGAGCCAGCACTGCTTCCTAGTGACCAACTAGTCCCCGCTGGCATTGGGGCTACTCTTCCAAACTTTTCAGCTACTAAGGATGAAGAAGCCCATATTCCTCATATCCAGAGTAGATGATCGTGGGTATTTCCCACGGTCTACGCTTATCTGTTGAAGGAACAATTAATGGAGAACAACACAGAAACATCATAGATCTGGAAAGCATATTGTCTTTATAGTTGAAATAAGATCTTAATGAAAGTAAATTAGCACTCTTGTAAACAGACCCATTCTGTGCATGCTAGGATGTATTTGATCCAGGATACAGATTCCCAGGATAGAGAATACCCAGGACACAAATACCCAGGACACAAATACCCAGGACACAAATACCCAGGACACAAATACCCAGGACACAAATACCCAGGACACAAATACCCAGGACACATATACCCATGCAACAAGGGAACGCTCAGGCGAACCATCTGAGGTACTCATTGCGAAAAAACAAACCCAGCCAGGATAGATGTGGGAGAATAAGGTCAAACACTGGTGAGTTCATCGCCTTTTAAAGATACGCCCCCTCGTAGTGTATGTTTCTTGTCAAGCAAACGAGGGTTATTTTTGGCTAGTCGACCATCCAGAATTTTCTCTTGTGCTAAGGCAACGGCTTGAGAGCATATGTAACATCGTGATTCATAATCTTATTATGGTGCGATTAGCGCCCTGCTTGTCGTGGACTACTCAAGTATTAGTTCAACCTCAAAAGTATTGAGTTGAGCATATGACAGACGGCGTCCACCCAACAAGTTGTCTGCTGAAGCAGGCGTACCCGTATGACCAAGAGTTAAGAATAATATGACTGGCCAACGTGTCTCGCCTTGTTTTAATGAGATGGCATACCCAATAGTATGCCTGACTAAGACCCACCTAACCTCTCCCCGTCGCAGAAGGGAGTTGAACGCTGTACCTTTAGGGACAAGCCTTGAGTAAGCTGATGCTCACATGCCCCAAGAAAAAGGTCTAGGCACCTTTGTGACTTCTCAAAGATCACCTCAAGAGTGATGAGCTCCTTGTTAATCAACGCTCACTTTCCCTGTCTAAATAAGCCTAACCGGCCTCTATTCAGTTTGTTCTTTTAATAGACAAAGTGCGCATGCATAATTTTGCAGCATATCTCGTTTGAACTTCTGTATTCACGTTGATACATTGGCCGCACGAATTCTACTGGGGTCGACAACCGGTCAACCATTCGGAAATCCGAGCTCTGTCTGAGTCGAGAATCAAAGCGCCACCGTGTCCATAAGCGCTGCTCACGTGATCAGACTTTCCAATTCGCCAAGACCCCAGCCTCCTCTTTTCCCATTCTCTGGCCATCTCTTGATCATATATGAATTGGAGTACGTCAGACCGTGCTTCGACGACCGCGACTGTAACCGTAGCTACTCAGGCGAGAAGACCGCATTACCAATCCGCAACGCGACCGCTAGTACGACCAAACGGATAAGCTAAGAGGATCGAGTTGACAATGACTGGCAGCTTGATCGCATTGCTTCTGAATTTCCGCTATGCATTGCTTGAAGTTGTCTCAGCGTGGTAATAATCTGGTTGTGCGTAGGAGAGTGGCCTGGAGCAGCAAGTGACTGGGTAATGGTGATGATGTTTGGGCAACTCCTAGCGGCGTCTGTGTCCCTTATTGTGCTTTATAAACGCGAATATAGATAGCAGTTTGGGAGCTTACACGGAGCCGACAGCATAACCTAGAAGGTATAGGCCTAATAACAGAAGCATGATTGGGACTGAGATTTGAGCAGTACCCAGTCCAAGATTGTTAGCCAGCAGGCCATAGGCGGCATAGAGACCGAGACAATAAACCCACTAGATAAATGATCCAATATAGACTGTGATTGAAGGACTGAAATCTGGAAAGGACGACAAGCTAACAGCTACAAGCCATACCGGGCTGTGGGACATTACTATAGAAAAGCCAGCGCTCACAAGCTGGAGCTTTCAAGCTAAAGCTTCTAGCCTAGGGATGGAAATCCAGTGACTTTGGTCCCTGTCCCTAGAACAGTCATCCGCAATCCTGGGTGGACAATGGGCCGCGGACTGTAAGCCAGCTGGGCCTGCAGACAGCTAACCAGCATCCCAAACAGTTTGCTAACTATGTGGGCTACTGATCTGAAGTTTATGGGCTATTGTGGACATAAAACCTATGGCAAAGGTCTTAATCACTCTAATTCCTCTACTTAAAGTTCGATATCCCACCTAACAGTGAGGCGCTAACATCTGTGCATTATGGGCATACCTCAGCGCACCTTCACTCGCACTACTGTGTAAAGTATGATAAACTGACTGAGGATTGACTGAGGATATTTGAAATGATGGGCGGACCCTTGAGGGTGACATTTTATAAACCAACTTTAAATTAAATTGAGTGGTTTAAAGGGATGGATAGACAACACCTGGAGTAGTGCCACTGCTCGTGCGGAAAGGGGCGAACCTGAATACTGGACTGGTTGAAGAAGGATTTCGCCCAGAGTCCGGGTCTTAGATGCAGCGTGACAGTTTGAACCTGAATGTTGCACTGTGGTGGAGTATTCATGCATTTATGAGCCCTCATGCACGTAATTGATACACCAGTATCGGAGGAAAAGAGCTCTCATTAGGACGTAGAAGATCGCCCCTTGGACTGTGTCCACTCTGTAAAATCCCAGAAACTGGAGTTTCCCTGCAATGGGCCCATGTTGACTATCAAATAATCCATTATGTACCGTGCTAGGTTATTTGCGGCCTCTGGCTCTTATTAATGAAACATCGGCGCCAGCTCATTGATAAAGGCGGCAGTCAAAGGGGAATTTTCCAGAGTGTTCTGAAATTTGCAGAAGGTAAGCAACTTCAAGGGTTCCTATTTATATTTAGCTACATGAATATGGACCTGAACATGGATGAAGAGGGCATGCAGGAGCATGCAGCTCTTACTTATGTGCTTTAGCACTATGACTACAAACAGTCCATCAAAACCTCCACTGTCCGCCTCTTTCAATCTCGGCGTCTTCTGAGAGCTACTGTGCAAAACAAGGCGCGTCTCTAAGACTAAGTAGTTCTCAGTACAAGCATACTTTGTAGTATAGGGTAAAAGTATCCAGGTTAATATTTCTTATAATGATTGGCCCTTCGCCTTGACTTTGCCTAGGAATATCTAACTCTTCTCTTAGTGACTGTGGGAATCACTTAACAGCTGCTGTATATATTAATAACTAGACTTACTCTAAGTCCATAATAATATACAAGGGCTGAGACTAGAAGATACTACACCCTGTTAGTTACTTCCTATTAGTGTATACTTTTCTTACATTATAAACTAGTCTGGCAGGTGCTCCATGTTGTTTAAGGAATAACATGCGCTATTCTGTAGATATTTAAAGCTGAGTGGGCACTACTCCATTATGTGAAGTAGTAATAGGCACGCATGGGTGACAAGTTAAGAGTATAAAATAGTTATTACCTGCACCCAGAGTTAGGCTGATATCCAGCAGGCAGTAAAGAAATGGCTCACTCTCTCACAATTATATATGCTTTTCTATATTTATCCTGAGTGACAGAGTCACCTACCAAGGACGAAACTAGCACCCTGGTGGATCTGGCCCAGACGAAACTTGTTCAATGGTAGTATATAGAGGGTAGGAGCACCAGCGCATCAAAACAATAGGATACCCTAAAATCCTTATAAATTGTTTGCTGGAGCCTCTCTTGACATACACTACTTAATATAAGGTTACTCTGATCATTATCCCTATCATTGCACAATAGCATACGAAAACCAAGGTCTGGAAACTAGAAGATTTGATGCAAATAGAGCAAATACTCAGAATAGACCTCTCAGATCTGGCAATCTCTTAATAATAGGAGTGCCACAGTCCTCTGGTTCCCATACCCCACAGTAAACTTGTATACTATGTGGCATTCCATCCTTGTGGTCCTACTTATTTTAATATTGGATGACTCTCCAAGCATGAGCTGATACTGTTGAGGTTGATACTTTTACTGTTGCTTTTCAGCAAGCAGTACTGGTTGCCTAAGATGTGGAATAGACTGCATCAGCCCTTGCCTATCCTAGGCAGAGCTCCTCTTCCAATTTGATTAACACTGGGACAGAGTGAATAGGATCCCTACTGCTCTTGTCTCTGTGAGTGACCGTCCCATTGAAGCCCTACACCATGGCTTAGAGAAGTACTATAACTTAAGAGAAGACCCTGGACTCATCTGGATCGTGATTATCTTTATTCTGGACACAGACGCCAGTTACCACCACGCGAAAAAGCTTGCGCAACAGTTGGAGAACATGGAAGACCCTAATGTCTTCAAGTATGAATATATATTTAAATGGGAGGTTCCTGAACAGTATGTAGAACATCAAGTCTCACTTCAGATACTGCTTGACTAAGGTTTGGATCTGTGCGACTACCTTAATGACATAGATCACCTTCCAGACCTTAAAACACTATGTAAGGAGATGACTGAGTGTCTCCTGAACCCTTCCTTCAGTGGTTATGATATTAGCTGGAGCTTAGGATGGATAGTGAGATGCTTTAGGGTGTGGGCCCCTATGTATAACATTGCGTCACAGCTCCTAACTGATTGCCCTCACTGTATTGTTGTTAACTACCAGTACTAGTATGCTTATTAGGCGGGCTACGCTAAGCCTATTAACTTTGAACATTTCTACTAGATCATACTTAGGATTAAGGAGGAACTCTCTGACTGTTAGCTTGCTGATCATGAGTTCCTGCTTAATTACAGGGCCCACTGTGATTGGGCTACCAATATTAAGGTGGAAATATAAATATTGTGGGATCTTTACCTAGGGGATATCTACAAGGAGGTAGTGTCAGGTGCTGAGCCTGAAATGTCTAATTGTCACACACAAGCACTGCGGGTACAGGAGCAGCAGATTGATGCTGAAATTGAGAAAGCAGCCATCATAATAGGGCTCTGATCAGGCACTGCTGTTCCACAGGCTCGTGCTTGGAGCTCCGCTACTCAACTGGGCTGAAGCGGCGGGGTAGAAAGAACTGCCCACCTTGGCGGGAAGACAAACTGCAAACTAGGCTGTCAAATCACATAAGGTGGTGGACACGGGGTTAGTATTCATGCACGCCTAGTTAGCACTGGCCGCTAAGGCACTCATACATAGAGAGCGGTGTCCTAATGGTAACTACAACATGGAGACATTTGGGGAAGCAGTCGCACCCCGGTAAGCATGTGGTACTGGATAAAGTCAGGCTCACTTGTCTAATGCTATGCCTGCTAGTAAGTAAGGCGCTTACATATATTTTTAGGTCTCCCATGTCCCTTTTTTGGTTATGTTGCGGTGTTGCAGCATTATTTCTACCCCATTCTCCAGCAGGATCCGCGATTCCTATTAATCTTTAACTTTCCTTATTCCAACAATGAAGCGTCCGCGATCCTGGAAAATGACTGCACTGAGGATTTACAGCTATAAGTAGCAGCACTAAGTTAGACCAGCAGTAGGATGCTCGCTCCTTATGAGATAGATCCTACCTAGTGAGGTCAGGTATAGTAGTATCCCGGCTGGCTGTGTATGTGAGGTGACTTTTTAAGTATAAAATACTAAATACAGCATCATATCGCATGCAGTATTCTGACAGTTCCCTTTAAACTCCAGATGGAATGCCATAGGCGGTGGTTACTTAGCATTTGTGCCACTAGTTATTGCCCATGATTTCACTGGTGGTGTGACTAAACTGGTAGAGAAATAGACCGCAGCGTGGGGACTGGATGGCCCAACTCCGGAAGCTGGATCAGCAGAGGCAATATGCAACGCTGTACTTTTTTAGGAAGACATTCTTATAGGCTGTGATCTGACAAATAGAAGTTGCTCTTCTAAAATAGCAGATACATAGTCACATAATATCTCTTCCATAGGGTATTTTTCTCCACTCTCTTCAGCCAGACTTCAGTTACGAAATCTTTGAGATGCGGAGTGGCGGTAATGCTGCAATTCCCTACAGCATACCACCAATCGAACAATCTCCACATTTCGTGGCATGGCCATAACTGCTGGGAGGAAGCACAGACCAGCCTAACACCCCGCATTTAGCTTACGGTCCTGCTTCCCTTCGCTTTCCTCTTGGTCTACCACAACAATCACCGTCCAGCCATCGCACTTACCTATTTCACATTTAACCCGTCCGCACGAGCAACTGCGAGAATTAATCAGCCAGCCTCCTTCAACGACCTGCAGGCAAAGGAGAACAAAAGTAAAGGACACTGAAGCTTGTTTGATGGACAATGTCCTTCCAAAACCAGTTCTCCCTGTCGCTCGAGCTGACCCGGCTGCTTCCTCTACATGTGGTCGCTGATAAAGCGACGGAAGCCGTGATGAGGATGGTGCGAGAACTCAACAAGTCTGGATCTGATGTCTTGGCGGAAGAAGATCTACTACGCATTTTCGGGTATTGCAAGATTGAAGAGCGGATGGAGCGTCAGTTCAAAGAAAGCATGAAAGGCGCGGCAAGCTCGCAACCTTTGTGTGAGAGGATTCTCCTTCAGACAGGACCAGGTCCGACGGTGGTTCGAGCTCTACAACAGCGTGAGTACTTAAGACTAGTCATTCAATTCTCCCTCCTTACTTCGGTACATGAGAAGTCTTCGCTCGCCACAGCAATCAGACGTATTTTCGACAAAGATGCCGAGTGCGCACCAGCCGATGTCAACATACCGACTCCTGACGAGAACAGCATTTTGGGAGTGTTGACAGCCTGCGAAGAACAGACAACTTCATTCCATTGGAGTTATTACCTGGAGGCTGTGGCACGCCATCTAGGCATGAGAGAAATGGCCTTCACTGCGATGGACGTCGCTATCTTCCGCGGTTGCACGCGGATGTTTCCCTTGGTCCAGTCTATGCCGGAAGATCGATTGGTAGTCATCAACAACCAAAACACTACAGGCGTGTGCGTTTTGGCGGTTTGGGCTCATCATATACTCGGGTTAACTGTGCTCGTGAAGGTGTATGAAGGGCTCAGCCCGACACATTTCGTTGAGCATCTCCTTGGAACCGGTCCGCCCCAAGTTATTATTGACACTAAGCCGAAGGATCCGTCCGATCCTTATCGCCCTTCAATTATCCTCCTTGATGCTACGGACCACGAGAAGCTCTTTAAAATCGAGTTGGACTCGGACGAGTACTTGATGCCCGATTGGACCTCTCCAGTTAAAGGTTACGGCAAAATGGAACTAGAGAGTCTCAGCGTCACCGTCGGAAAGCCTGCCGTGATTGAAGAGATTGGCATCATGGTCACTGCGTTTGCTATTTTGGTATCCGTGCGAATTTCGGCGTCCAATGGAAAAGTTATCCCCCGCGAGCCAACACAAAAGCTCCTCCGACGTTCAACGTCCCAAGATATTCTTAGGGCTGCCCGTTTCCTGTTTGATAACGACGTTATCACCGAAGCAGCTGTGGAGGATCGAATCCCGATGTATGAGCTCCAACCTCTGAATGAGACGTTGCAACCACCGACCGTATTGTCCATTGTTCTCGATCAGGATCCTCAGAGAAGAGCTTACATGTGGAAAGACTTGCTTCGAGCGATGCCGGCCCTAGTGACATTAGTACTGGCCTTGGCTTATATCAGAAACCTCGAAACGTGCGCTGGCGTACCACTTTCTCATCCCATGACTACGATCCTGGCGGAACATCCCCTAGTGAATGCCCTGCGTACATGGGATGGTCGAAAGCAGCTATCTGTAGCCGCAAATTCCTGGTTTCAAGCGATTAGGATGCTCCTACTGGGTCCCTTGCCTACCCACAGCCACTTGGAGTCGGCAGCTTTGACGAGCCACCGCGGTTGGAGTGTGTTCCTCAACACACTCAGCGATCGCGACCTACATGATCCTAGCTACGTCGACGAGGGCTTCTTTACTGTCAAGGCCGGTGTGCCCTCTAGAAACGGCGTACGAAAGCATGCCATTATTGACGGCCCTCTTGTCGGGGCATCATCGTCGGCGACAGCATGGAGCATCTCCGAACGGAGTGGTGCGACAATAAACGGGCTTTGGGATAATGGGGCTATGTTTGTGAATCCCATGGTGGGGGAAAATAATCATAGCTTCGTCGTCACTCTCGGGATTGTCAGCCGCACTGGCCCAGAAAGTACTCCCGGAACAACGATCCGACGAACAGGATACAGAGAACTATTTAACGCGATGTCTGGAGTCATGAAGACCATTGACTGTTCACACTCAGTTATCAATGACCAACCTGTTACATTGCAACCAGGATGGGCGGCAAGTATGGATATCAACGATATATCCCCGCCTCCGCCTGTACACGAGAAAATCGTTATACTTTTGACCGCCAGAAATAGGGCCGCTCGTTGGAGAGCATTAATCGGCGTGTCGATGTTACTTCTGCAACATCGTGGCACACCAGGAGCCCGACGCACGATGCTAAGGAGCCCGGGTTGCTGTTTACGATGTGCTGTAGAGCAGACGGTTCTCGAGGATGGCCTCTGGTGGCTGATATTGTAAAACATGTTATTGACACCCGTCCAAATTATTCCTTCTGGTCGGATAGCAGTATGGCAAACAGTCATCTCTGCCTTTGTCAGGTATGCTCACTCGGTACCTCCCCACTCCCGCCGCCGCCGCCGTCGTCGTCGTCAAGATTCTACAAGCCATTTGCTTTGAATCTGCCTTAATACTATCAGCCAGTGATGCGACTAAGATTAGCCGCAACATGCACACTTACAAGTCTCTATTCGCCATCGTCACTGGTAAGTGACATAGAGAGTGAATGATTATGTGTGCGGCTTGTTGGTTGACCTGCGGAGCAAGCCTACTCGCTAAGCTGACGTACGCAAGCCATAGAGGATGAATCTCCCATACTAGGTTTTATTGGTCGGGAGACGTCGCTCAGGTACTGACGTTCGACGCTCATGCCCTGCGCGTTGACAGGACCTGGGCGCGCGGGCCTAGGTCTGGAGAACGCTCAGATCAGTATGGCTGAATATTGGCATTGCTTAGGCCTCCATATAACCCAGGCACACAAGTTTATAGCTGGCTGATCCGTAGGCCACCTTTCACACCTCACGCATATGTTTATGGCCCGCATATCCTAGGAAGCAAAGGCGACCTTCCTAAGTGTTTCTCTTTGACTGCTACCATGCATCTCACTCTCTTGAGTGCCTCGCGGATTTGCAAATCGTCCCAGAGGAAGCAAGGGACATGGGCGTTACTCTAAAGACATGCGCTCAGGCTAGGCACAAGTCCAGGCTTTGCCTTGGAGATCAGGAGCTTGTGGTTCCCTTCCAATATTACCAACTTCAATCATTAATTTGGCCATCGCCACTTCCTTCATAAGCTTCCTTGTCTTCGGGATCATCATCAGACAGGGACTGACAGGAAGTGCTCCAACAGTCATGCCACTAGGGACACTGGGAGGTACACCAGGCTGTGCAGCTCCTGAGTCGTTACTGGCAAAATCTCCAGATGGAATGCGTGGTCCCTCAGCACAGCACTTAAACCTTGGTAGCGGGTTTGTAAGGTATCTGTCTGCTGTATATAGAATCGAACCGATTCGATAGCTACTGTGCCAGTCATACAAAAAGCCTTGACGGCGCGGTTATAAATTGTCGATGCTTCCCCGCGGACAGAATCAAACACGAAAAGCCGAGAGCGCGAATTGCCCTATGATCCCACGGCATATCGAAGAATGAGTTACTAAAACATCTGCATTTACCCTGACTAAAGCCTATTCCTTCTGCACCGGTTGCAAGCTTGAATCCTGCATTGACGGCATTCGAATATATATTCCCGCAAATAATAGGAACACTCCTCGCATCGATGGGGTCCCCGAATATACTTCCATCTATCATGCATGCACTCATGATTCTCTCTGAGCTCCTGAATAGTTCTCGCAACCAAAATATCTCGTGGTGTCTGAGAAGAAGGGGATGCTGAAGCTTCTGGAGCGGCGTGCGACTCTTCATCTGCCTGCTCTGGTTGTGCTTCCTGACTTTCTATGTGAAACTTGTTAGTCTCCATGGCAAGGTGACCCTCCAGCCGAGGCTCATTGATATCTGGTGGGGGTTTAGCAGCGAGCGGCTGGTCTCCATCTCGATCAATTAATTGGTATGCACGCGCAAGAAGACGACGCTCATCCTATTATTCACATCTGCAATTCTTTCACTGCGCTCCGCAGTTGTAACAAAATTGGGCACCACAGCAACAGCTATTATGTTTTTCAGTTAGAATCAGGGCCATGAGAGGTAAAGAAAGGGCAGCTTAGAAGGTCGGGGGATATTGGAGGGGTCACGAACATTATATGATTGCAACCATGATCCAGTTCCACCATTCTCCAGCACGAATAGCAGCGTTGCCATCTGTTTTCTTGTGCGGTTGCTAACAGCTGTTGCATGGCGGTATTATTCAGATAGTCTCCCATATGTGCCCGCCCTTTGCAGTTTGTATAAGTTATGTGCCCGCAACTGGGGCATGTGGCTACTTCACCATTAATGTGTGATGTGTTGATGAACGCATCACATTCAGAATAGTAGCAGTATGTTCTGTTTGGAGTTTTAAACTCAATCTTCTTTTTCTCATACTGCTCTATTAGATTGGACTTGAGAAATATGCGAGCTATGTTCATATTTATAGGTTGTTGGCAGCATCACAGAGGGAACAGGGATTCATCTGTTAGTGAAGCTTTGAAAAGGTCCTCCAAACAGGGATAATAATACTCATGCTGACAAGGAACACAGGCCATGTTGACAAATTCTGTTTATTCTTGATAGGCTACACATCGACGCATTGGTGATAGTGATTGACCAGTTCATTGAGCTGCCCAAGCAGACGACTTGGCTTGCTCAGTTTCGGAATCGCCACCGCCTATAATCCCTATGTTTTGGTATCCCTCCATGCCGGACACATATAAGATTTGGAGTTTAGCCAGAGTCTCATCATCCAAAGTCACTGATTTTGATTTGAAATCAGCTGAAGACTCAAGACATCCATTCTCCATCCACTGACGAGCAATATCTTGGTTATTACATGCGTTCTCTTCTTCCACCTGGTTCACAGCCACGATGCATCTATCAGCTTGGACTGCAGCTGCGAAACTTGTAGCTATTTATCTATCTGTGAGTAACTGAGAAATAATTTCTAACTCCTTATTTTGTAGCTGAAATGCCAGCTCCTCGTCAGTGGGATCACGCGATTTCCCTTTGGAGGATTTAAAGTAAAGACTGGCATCTTGCAGCTGTAGTTGAACAAGCAGGTCAGCTGTAGGCTGGTCTATTTCTGGTGCTAGGACAAAGGCCATCGTAGCTGAACTGAATAAGATATGAGGCAGATTATGTCTGCTAAGCTGAGAGAAAGCGTTTGAACTAATCTAGGGATGTGTTGTCAAAGAAGGGGGCCACCACTACACCGCAGGTTGAAATATTGGTGCATATATGGTCCACATGCCTTTCCGTATCTTGTACGACCTGGCACCGAAAAGCAGCAATTATGGCCTTTGCCCCGCTCTAGGCTGGCGCTACCGAGAGAATATCACAGTCTTGGGAGCCCTTGCTCAAGCGGGGAGTAAAACTGAAGTTGCATGCGATCTGTCAGTCACACCGATTTTTGGTCGCAACTTTGGCGCCCATCCCGCGAAGCCCTTGAACTGATCACGCAAATAAGTTCAGACCGCATGGTGTCGCTTCTGTGAAATTGGATGCTATAGGTGGTCAATCAATAAACAAAACTTAGATTACTGTGAAAACTGGCGCTTGAGAGAAACTCCAGACTCAATGTTATCAAGTGACTGCACACGAAGCACCACAGCGATTTGCTGGCAAGTCGCATCTCAACATCAAGGAAACACTACAATTTATGACTGAACCAATGTCCGTTTCGGCCTTACCGGCCCTCAATCAATCTCGTCATCTCATTGGATCTATTTAACAAAGTGCCCTCCAGGGAGAGCGAATCGCATCACCTCCCGCAGCTAGGCAGCAATAGGGATATCCACATCGGTCTGGTCTGGGGTAGACCCACACGCTCCAGTAATTCTTATTGGCGACTCTTGGATCGGGATAAACAGTAGATCGTCGTGGCCTTATGCTGCGGTGCAAATTCTAGACTGCCTTCTCTAAGCCGTCACACCATCATCATCTGTCAGAGGGCTAGGAACAGATTGGGAGATGAAGGCAGCAGGCGTAGTCTGAAGGTCTACAGTAAGCTTTTGGGATGGGTGTCTCATATACTGAAGGACGAACTGAAGTGCTCCAAACAAGTGGCGGCGATTCAACGCTTCAGCGTCTCAGTCTGCGAATACATTCTGAGGGCCTAGTTGTATCTACCACATAGCATAAATATTCTATATTTTCCTACCTGTGGTCGCCCATGCAAAAAAGAAAAATTGAAGTCCAGTTGCCGGCCCAGCTACAGAGTTCATGTGAACAGACACCGAACGCAAAACAACTATAGAACGGCAGTTAAAGTTCCAAGGCAATGTCAAAATACAATGTAAATCCCGATGACAACCATACACATCCAGATTGGACCGTGAGGTTCAGGAAAATATGAAGCGACTGTGTGGGATGTTTGATAAGGATGGATGTCGACGACTGGACATTCGAAACCACGTGACTGCCATTTTTCCCGAGTCGGGGAACTCCGACTCAGGGCAACACCTGAGGAGGAGCGTGCCAGGCCGCAGGACTTACGACCAAAGTGTTAAAACGTCATCGACTACAGTATCCGCACCTCAAATTTTCTGGACACCAAGTGCAATGCTTCCATGGGCAGACTTAAGGCTGGCGAGGAAACTCTAGCCCAATCAGACCGGAGGACAGTCGACCTATATCTGGACGGTGCGAATTCTCCCCATTCCTGGCAATTTCGTTGTCTAACCCGTACTGGAAAATATCAGTCTGGACCTACAAAATGCCCTCGTGGACGAATATGCGAACGAAAACCCCCAAACGGCCGGGGAGGTATACAGAAAAATCCGTCAGTATAAGCACGTGAGCAATACGTTTGTTCAAAACCGCTGGTGGTACCGACCGTCGCCGAACAAGGCCAAGCGGTTAGGACAACCCACTTCCCAAGACAATGCGTATCTCTGTGCAGCGTTTGATATGTCACTTGCGATCCCGGACTTCGGAACGGGGCCCTCCAGCGGTTCTACCCGATCTAGAACAGGCCCAACGGGCAGTGTTTGAAAGACAGGAGGCCGACGATCTGCTATTTGATACTCTGCTGTTTGACACTCCATATACGTTGGAAGATCCAGAAGACCAGGAGATTGGAGAAGTTCAGGAGAAACCCACCAGTGAATGTCCGGCAGTGACCTACTGCCAGGACGGAGAGTTATCATTCCATGCTTACGACCGAGGAAATTGGAGCAGGACAGACACCGTGTTTGTAAGCTCTGACAATCCACATGAGCCACAGAGCATCGCGGACCGTATATGCAATGCCGAACCAGGCGCAAGAATGCGCGCTTCTGTGATAGTGCGCTACGGAAGGTAGCCGTCGCCGAGTGCGTTCGCAAGGCGATCAACTTTATGCGTTTCGGGAGGGACCTAAGCGTGGCGCGGCATCTTGTCTGCTCAAAAACATTGGAAATGATGGGCAATCATCGGAGATGACATGTTGTAATGACCCAGCACAATAACGGGCGGTCTGTAGGCCAGGGGGTTCCTAACAATGTAGTCCGGCGTCCACAATGGTCTTGCATCTCATACAGACGCCAGTTGGCGATCCTCCGACTGTGCTGGTCGTACGACCGCGGTCTTTCGACCATATAGGTTGGGAGCGCTAGGCCGCGTGTTCCTGGTCCTCCATCACCATGCGTACGCACCCAGTCTTACTGCCTGGGTCATCAGCATCTGACCTTAAGCCTGTAGCCCTCCGCTCTAGTCACTCCGACCCGCCAGGTGTTCAGACTCTGAGCATTTGTCCGTTTTTGACCTAGAACTTCAGGCGGACATCAGAAGAAGTCTTAAGACCTTATTGATCGTAAGCCTAAGGACGATCGCACTAGCTGGGACGGGCATAAATTGTTCGTCTGGAAGGTGAGAGTCTTAGAAAGAGACTTTCTCTTGCAATAGCAATGCCGTGCGGACCTAGACATGCAGCTGGAATCGATGCTCCCTTCGGGATGAAGACCCCGCGTGGAACAGAAGCTACGTGCGGACCTAGGCATCCAGCTGGAGTCGATACTCCTTTCGGAGTGAGGACCCCGCGTGGAACAGAAGCTACGTGCGGACCTAGGCATCCAGCTGGAGTCGATGCTCATTTCGGAGTGAGGACCCCGCGTGGCACAGAAGTTACGGGCGGACTTAGGCATCCAGCTGGAGTCGATGCTCCTGCGAAGATAGCTTATTCGTTGGGAGGAGAGGCTACACATAGATGCTCGCCTCCAGATAGCCCGAGCCGTTTGATATCGGTGCCACGCCATTTTCGGCGCGCCTTTCGCAGCGACTTTGTCGGCGTTGGTGGACCTGGACCTTCAGCCCCACCTTTATCGCACCCCTGCAATTGCAAATTTTTTCCATATCTTTTTCTGAAGAGACTCCAACAAGTTTTAGAAGCTTGACTAACTAAGTTACAAGACTACACAATGTCAGAAAGCAGCGGCAGCCATCTAAATCAGCCTCTTGCCAACTACAACGCAGAACATAAGAACAAAAGAATAGGTAAAGCAAAGTGGTCACCCACAAGGCTCGATTGGTCACCCTGCGCGCACCCAGGCCTTGAAGATTCCTGTAACCCAAAGATATGGAAGGAGGCTTGGCAGGTCGATCATCCCAAAAGGGAATAGTATAGTCCCTTTTGGGATGATCTGGGTGTTTCAGACACTTAACTCAGAGCACTCTGCCAGTTCTAACTGTGACTCTCTCATGATAAAGGAGACGGCAATCTAAGAGTCGTTGGGAAACAAGAAGAGGTGGAAAAGAAAGTCAGTTAATAGACTCAGACTAAAGCAAACACTCTCGGCGCTAAGGCGAGGCACGTGTGAGGACTTGGAGCTCGGTGGATATGGGAGGCTCAGCAAAAGTATTGAGCAAAGTGAACGAGTCGGAAGCTGTCTCCTGGGTTTATGTCTATTTGCCGCCATTGTATCTTAAGGGGAGAAACTTCACTTCTAGAAGTGCTCCTATTTCTAGTTCCCTCGCTATCCTGGGACATCATCTGTCTATCAACAATCTCCGATATACTCGTGCACGTGACTGTTGATTTCTCTGCTCTGACGTACTGTGTTTGAGGATGTCAGTAGTTCCAGTCACGAACGAAGGTTCAGGTAGGAGATAGAGTTAAGCTCATCTCGATCACCCCTGATCACCTGCTGATCACCCGCTCACCCCAGATCACCTGCAGGCAATCACTGCCTATCCTAAACAAGGTATAGGGATTATCTTAGAATGCACTTCTGTGTTTTAGATGTTTTGCATTTCCTTTGTTAGACATTAGTCGCGTGGGGAGGGTGAGCATAGGAATATATAAAGGCCTGAACTTCCAAACCTTTATGCCTGAAGTGCTCGCTCTCATTCTATCCTGTTATTATTATTGTTACTGAAAACTTCTGAGGATGGCAAAGCCTAGGAAAATTTGTCATTGCTAGTCTAATAAGCTAAAGGCAAAATATTAACAGCATAAATAATGATGAGGTACCTTGTTCCAGAAGGTGTTTGAATTCTGTTAGGAGTGTAATACAGACATCTTGCTCATGATTTAGTTGAAAGAGAATGGTCAGATTTACATATTTAACTCAGATAATAGATGGTTCCCTTCACAGGAAGGCTTGGTAGGTTTCCCCCTCTCTTGCCCCACCCCTAAAAATTTTTCCGTTCCCCTCCCCCCGGCCCCCCCCCTTTTTTTTTTTTTTTTTTCTTTTTCTACCCCTTTTCGTCCCTCTACTCCCCCTCTGGCTTTTTCTTTCTCTTTTCTTTTCCTTTGGTGAATTTCGGGACTATACTAATGGCTGCAAGACTTTGCACTATCCTGTACCTTTGAGGATAATGTGGCAGGAGCTGGCCGCTGCGTATCAAGCTTGAACACAACCTATTGGGTGTAATGGAGGAGCTCACTACAGGGTGTATCTATATTTCTAGTGGCTTTGGTTCCTGAGGTATTGCCAAATAGGAAGACTATATAGTGACTTCCTATAAATTCTGGGCTGACCTGAGATGCAATCGTGTTGAGATTTGTAGGCTGGGAAATCACATTCACTGATTTATGTTGCCTTTAAAAACCTGTTGACAATGACCGCTGCAACGTTTGGACAGCAGTCAAAAAAGGACTGCTGTCAAAAAACGACTACTGTCAAAAAACGACTGCTGTCAAAAATGGACTGCTGTCAAAACATGACTGCTGTCAAAACATGACTGCTGTCAAAACATGACTGCTGTCAAAACATGACTGCTGTCAAAACAAGACTGCTGTCGAAACAAGACTGCTGTCAAAATAAGACTGCTGTCAAAACAAGACTGCTGTCAAAAATGGACTGCTGTCAAAAATGGACTGCTGTCAAAAATGGACTGCTGCCAAAAATGGACTGCTGCCAAAAATGGACTGCTGTCAAAAATGGACTGCTGTCAAAAATGGACTGCCATCAAAGCGGGACACGGAAAGTCAGCCCCTTGACTGCATTGAGTATCTCATTGCCTTGGCAGAGTTTACACTATTCCCCTTTTAGTTTAAATCCGTTGTTAGCAGACCCGGGTATTTATATGGGATCACAATCCTCGACGCCTAGAGTCACGTGTATGGATCCCGGAGGCAGGAGATACTATTTGACGACGCTAGGTTACAGCAGGAGTTACGGACGAACAAATAGGAGGCCTCTGCAGTAGTGACTCAGATCACTCTCGATCATGACTCACTTCAGCAGGTAATGTGCCCCAACAATTTCTGGAATTCAAAATGGGTTTGCAGTGTTTCGATGGAATACGGCAGCCATCATAAACGCGAAATAGTAAAAGGTCAAGAGATACCGCCAAAGATTGCGCACAAATACCATTTCTCCGACGCTGCTGTCGAATCTTACAAGAATTTCTATTGATTGTCTGCGTGCAGATGGTGTACACTTCTGTTACTACATGAGTCGCCATCGCTGCATTCAAGTTTGGCGCCTTTTTGGGGAACAGAAAGCCTTGTTCCGATCTGGGTCTGATCTAAATTTTCTGCGCGGGTTCGTCTATTCCACTTCTATACCTTGCAGCAAGTTCTTGCCAGGTTATAGTCTTCGGTCTTGGATAGTGCAAGGACTGACAAATCATTAGGAGCTGTCTTGCCTTGTTTCCATGGCAGATACCTACCAGGTCTTCTTGCATAAGAGGCCAACGGCTATCCGAGTTGAACATAAAAATTTGACCATTATGCTTTAGTCTAATCATTAGAAAGATGTCCGCATCACATTCACAGCAGTACAGTATTCAAACGCTTTCCGAAACAGACTGTCTCTTCGTCGGCTTCGCTGTTGACGCTTTGCTCGCGGTGTGTCTAGCTTCCGCTTCCCAACACTCTTGCCCTTTGATGCCATTATCTGAATTTGCCCTGAGAGCAGAGGATGTAAAGGAAGATAAAAGCGCCATGCTGAGAATGGCGGTTCTCGTCCTCTTTAAGTGGCAGGTTCAGTCCCAGTCTCTTCAGCACGGTGGTGATGAGGGCTCACCCCTGGTGATGATGGCTCACCCCTGGTGGATGAGCTTTGGATGTATTCACGTGATAGTATGTATGCTGTTCTAATCTACAGCCTATACATATGGTCTTGGCATCAATCGTTATGTCAGCACAGCCGTGGGCCGTCACCCTGGTCTGGTGACGAGGGCTCAGGCCTGGTGGTGACTGTGACCTTTCGACAAAAATGACTGGTTGGATGCGAAATGACGGCTCATTCTACCTCCGTATGTTTTGGGTTGCTTAGACTGAAGGAACTTGCCCTATCTAATCATGTGACCTGATCGCCTTCCAGCCTGTAGGCTTGTTGTTATTTTTCCAAGTCATTACCTAGCAGTCCTCAGCCGGTATCATGTCATTGGTCTGCCCCCGATACTCGTCTGACCCCCGTACTGGTCTGCCCCCGATACTCGTCTGACCTCCGTACTGATCTGCCCCCGTACTCGTCTGCCCCCGTACTCGTCTGCCCCCCATACTGGTCTGCCCTCCATACTCGTCTACCCCCTGTACTCGTCTGCCCCCGATACTCGTCTGCCCTGCTTCCCTCGTCAGCGGTCTTACTCCCCTCGTCAGCAGTCGTCCCTCATCCGTCTGGTATGAATGTCGTTGCGTTTTCGAACCCTACGCATGAGGTAGTGATCGGAGATTTCCCCTGTTCTATAATATGTATCTTCTAACCCCTTGGTTTTGGTTTAAATTAGGTAATCGCTGGTGGTGGTGGATAACAACTTTCGCAGTGAAAGCGCCCCTTTCAGAGTAACTATGTGATGGAATACAATCTAGCCTAGCCCTCTATAGCAGTCAGCCCATATTCCACGAAACGGCGTCCCTGTGCCAGCATAGGCTAGCAGTGGTGGGCAGACAACAGGCACTGTATAAGCTGAACACCTAACTCATAGGTTTTAAATGGCTATTACAGGGCCTTAGCTAAGTACTAGGAGATTAATCCATTGTAAGGGGGAGTCAACCAGGTTTTGGAGGTTGCATTGTTAGGGGGCATAGGCAGTAAATGCAGATACAAGATGGACTATTATTTCCTTCTATATACATCCTAATGCTTGCTACTGCTGAAAGACAGTCATAACACCCCCATCAGTGTCATTGAATTGGATTGCTTCCAGTACCAGATGGCTTCCTAGGTAGAGCAGCACATCTACGGATTTAGATGATGTGCAGTGCTAGATTGCTACTGAATGAAGTAATAGCAGTAAAGAGGCTTGCATGGATAGAGTATTACACTCCACACCCAGCCTCTGCAGAGCAGGAAAGTTGCTAAAGGATCTAAACTTTAGCATCTCATTATATTATATAAAGTAGTCATGATCTTATATAAGGAGTTCCTCTAGGTGACCTTTATGGAGAAGTAGAGCTTCATATATATTATAAGAATTAAGGGAGATTTAGCCTATAAAAGCTCCTTGGCAAAGAAGAGGATGAAGGTATTAGAAGCTTAGCAGATATTTACAGCTCTAGATCATCACAGATATAGCTTAAGAACCAAGGTTACATCCCTTAAGCAAGATATACTTAATAGGTAGACTAGATGCCTATAGCTGCAGTGTAGACAGGCCACATAAATAATTTCTTAGAGATAGCTAAGACAACCGCGGAAAATGTGGTATAATTTCCTATATATCAGGCCCACAGTTCAAACATTGAAAGGCTTGTAGGCGTTGAAGGGGAAGATTACCTAAAAAGAGTAGTTACTTCAGCGCGGGCAGCAGATTTGGGTGTCTAGGTATTGCAAATTACTGTATATTTGTTGCCTGAGATAGTAATAAATTAATTAAATTCTGGCAGGCGGCAATATCATCATCATTAATGTGATTAATAAGAACTAATGTGATGTGTTGACCAAGAAAATGATCTCTTGTGATCATGCTCAAGAATAACTGGAATCTTCTCTAAGTTTGCTTTGGATTGCTGCTCACTTTAAATGAAGCGTAGAGGATTGGAAGGCATGCTTCATAGAGGTGTTTAGAAACCAGACGCAGATATAATTGCTGAGGGAGATAGAGCCTGGAAAATAATCGTCAGCACCTCGTCTGGCAGGTCACTTAGAGTTGCCATTGGGGCATATGAGTCGAGCTGGTCGGCTGGCAGCAGTAGAAGGTGTTCTGTCTTGTAAGTCAGCAGTGGCTCCTATTTATGCGTTTAAGAGCAAGGCTGATGGCAAGAGCGCCTAGCCCTGCATGCTGTCGGCCACAGCCACTCACACTACAGCACCGCACGCTCTGGCCCGTGATTTGATGAATCCAATTGTTTCCAACGGCCGTTGGACAGATTTCAAATCGTCCAGCCTTTGAGAGAAAAGGAAAGGGAAATAAAAGCATGGCGCTTTCTTGAAGCTCAGAATGTCATTCAGGCGGAATGCGGGGTCAGTTGAACGTCGTTTGGCCAGCAACAGCAGCAGGTGTGTACTCGGGATTTGCTGCACGACATAACCCACGTCAGAGAAAATATTTTTTTTTTTTTTTAATTTTAGTTTAATTTTATTTTATTTTTGGTGCCTGCGTCTGTTCAACAACTTTGTACAAAGCCAGAGTGTCTAGAAACTCAACTTTCTACATTATAGTTCTAGATGAAGATCATTACGTCCCTCCCATAGACTAGGGATCAGACGTTACCGGAAGTGTGCGACCATTCATTATTGAAAACAGTTAGATGGTATACTGGGCGCTGTATATGTCTAATAGTACTCTTCGATGTAGCACTGTACTAATAGGTACAATGATAACATGACGAGAGAACTATGCAACTAAGATAAAGTGAACTAGAATGTTTAGCAAAAGAATCAGATGTTGAAGGACCAGCCTCAAATACGCTGCATTAACTGGGGCCAGCCCCCAATCCCTCCTCCCTTTTGGGGCAAAACAACACACAGAAAAGAAAAAGACGAAACCAGACGAAGAAAAAAACCAGACGATGCATTAAAGAATCTTAATTAAGCTAAGGGCAGACAATGGCTGATGTGATATAGTGCCATGCACTATCTTAGCATAGTTTATTAATACTAATTTACTCTCTAATTCTTCCTTGTAGATGCTGCATTTGACCCGCATATCTTTTAGATATGGTATGACGTGAATATTAATAAAGTGATAGCTAAGGGACCTAGGGGTATAAAACTTTTTTACTTACTTCCATTCTAGTAGATAAGGATTCCTAAGATAAAGGAAATAAATTATTAGCTGCTTATATGGAGCTTTAATATAGATAGATGAAATTATACTAGAAAGAGTGGTTATTTCTTCCTTAGGTAAAGAGCATTCTTACCTTTTTACAGGGGGGATAGAAGGTAAGTTATCTATAGTATAATATTTCTAGGTAGCCTTTAGTTACCTTATAGATAAACCCTCTTTCACATCATAATAAGTAATTAGACTGGTCGTGGGTTGGGTTTGGATGGATCCGCAGGGGGTTCAATCCAACCCAGATGGGTTTTGGGTTAACCCATGACATCAGTAACCCGCCTTAAAATCCATGCGGGTTGGATTGTGGATACCTATTTTACCCATATCATGCACGTGATTCCAGTCTATACTACTTTTAGTAGGCGGCGAGATCTCTCATTGAGAGAATATTGCGGATAATCCATAACCTAAAAGTCCACAAACCCATTAATATTACCAAGTGACTGGCATGGCGGGATATTATATTTTAAAATTTTGAAATCTCATTATTACTTTTCACTTATTGATTCATGCGGCCTTTACTTGTTATAATATTTACTATGATACTATCTTTATTTTTATTATTTTTATCTGATTAAGAGAGTACAGCCTATGTGCACACATAGGTTCATTAGATATTAGGGGTAACTAGTGGGACTGTGGGAATGTGGGATAATTGTTCATTATAGTGGGAATAGAGCCTTTAAATTATGTGAGGGTAGGGAGTAGGCTAGCAGCTGCCCTGTAGCATGCCTTATTAATATTGAGGTGTTCAAGTAAATTAAGCTCCCTTTTATATCTCTACCTAAGCTATGAATGAATGTAAAGATCTAAATGGTTACATATATAATGATAAGTTAATGATAACTAATAGATATCTTCTGCACACTTCATACACTTTCTTGAAGCCATATGCATACCTGTTGATATCACACTGGTAAGGCAAAAATGCGACCGAAGGCCATAGCCTACCTTAGTAACCTTACTGCTGCTCCACAATGTATCCTAGGAAATACTATTATATTTATTAGGGAAAGGAAGGATTGATAACTGAGAAGTATCATTAGTCTAGTGGTAAAGTCCTTTTTATTATTAATAAGGCACATGTTTAATTCTTGGATTATATAATTACTATTTTTTTACCTTCCTTAACTATGCTTCCTTAACATAAGTATAATTCTTTAATTTAGCATTCCACCACATAATACGATGGTCTGAAGGATACAGAACTTAGAGAAGTAATATGCTCTATAAGAACACCCTTTTTTAGGATAATGAACTGTCTAAAAATTATTAATATATATTATAGAGAGAGTGTAATGTTTACTATTACTATAAGGGTGCACTAAAATATATATAGCTACCTGGATGATAATGTAAATGTTTATATATATATAAAAAGTAGTTAAACCAAAGGCCTTGTAAAGCAGAAAATAGAATGTATTGATAAAAGTTATACTTAAAGCTCTTAATCTCTTAATGAGAGATTTAATACATCCTGCTATCTAGATTCCAGAGTAGCTTGGTAGTTAACAAAGATAACCTCATCATATTATTGATGATTTAATGCACCTGTTCCTAATAACTATACTCTTATTGAGAGATATTACTAAGCAGTCATGTGACCATAAGAATATAAACTTCCTTTATTTATTCACTTATTTAATGAGTTGAGTACAATATGAAGAAAATTCTATTCTCTATTAATAATATTCACTGTTGGATATCATAAATAGGGAGATTGGATGATACTAGTATTAAATATATTAATCAGAATACTCTGTAGCCTTGCAGAACCTCATCTTCTGTTTATTCATAGATTTCATGAAATTTGACTTTCTTGGATCTCTCAACCCTGATATTGTTTGTTGGCTACTTTCTCCTTTACTATGAAAGAATATCCTCATCCAGCCTAGATCTCTTATTAAGAGATTTTCATTTGTTAATTACCATCCACCCGTCTTAAACTCTCTCATTGAGAGATTTTTATTTGTTAATTACCATCCACCCTGTCTCAAACTCTCTCATTGAGAGATTTTCATTTGTTGATTACCATCCACCACGTCTCAAACTCTCTCATTGAGAGATTTGCCAAAATAGTCAGGAGGGCAAGTATAAGTATAGGATTATTTTATAGAGGTTATAAGTATTCCTTCTAGTAATCCCTTACTTTATTACTTAACTCCTAGTTATGGAGCTCTATTTGCCCATCTAAACTTTCCTAAGTGAAATAGAATAACTAATCTACACTATTATTTAAAGAGGCATGAAGGTTTTTAAGATAATAGATAATTAGAAGGAAGTCTATAATAATATATTATTGCTAAGGTTTGCTCCTTAATCTCTTATCTTAGACTCTGTATTAATTATTAGGATTGCACCTATTCCCTAGAATGATTTATTAACCAGCTCCTTTAATTTATTATTACTTGTCAGCTCCCCTTTCACACAGTTAAACATGTCTAATTTGCACGTATAATTTAAATAATTAATCTAGATATATGAATTCCCTCCTGTGAAACTCTTAAGGAGCATCTCCAGGAACTTGCTGTTATCAGTCATTCTGAACTTATTACTAAACTCTCTCCAAATAGTAAAATCTCCTTAGCTCTTAACTACTAGATAAGTCTAGATTCTAAGCCCTTTCTTGCTATTACTGCTTACTTTATTAATGAAAGCTTTAAATTTCAGGAAATGCTCCTTGGGTTTTATCTAATTAAGGGTAAGCATACAGGAAGCAATCTTGCAAGTATAGTTCTAAATATTCTTTCTCTTTATAATCTTTAATCTCATGTTCTTGCTATTACCACAGATAATGCAAAATAATAGGAAGATGATGCAAGAGTTAGGAATTAAACTATAGAAAGGGTTATAACTTGATTCTTTTTAATAGACTATATTTAATCCACAACTTCATGGTGTACTCTATAAGTATACCTAGTCAACTTTAAGTTTAATAAGAGAGATTATTAATAAGATTTAATATATACCTTGCCTTGCTCATGTCCTTTAACTTGCAGTGAAGGCTTTCCTAACTTAGTTAAATATTAAATCAGAGGATGATCAGATTATAAAGACTTAGATAGAGGGTGATTAGCAGCTACATAATCCACCTAGCCTAAAGCAATCTCTTGAGAAGGTTTAACATCCTTAATCTCTTATTGCTAGATTTCTAACAAGCTTCTCTCTATAGATATAGAAGATTGTTAAGTTTATGAATGCAAGTCCTTAATGCTAATAGAAGTTTATTTAGATCTAATATACTAAGGGTTGTACAAAGACAACCTACCTTCTCCTACAAGATTATAAGACATGATGGAATTTAACATACTTAATACTTTATTAGGCAGTGAAACTCCAGAGTAAGGTGAAGATCTTTGTAGATATATAGACTGTGCATAATATTAAGCATCTTCAACTCTTAGATTTTAAGTGGAAGCATCTTGAATATCTGATTAAACTTCTCTATCCCTTCTTTACCTTCATAATGAACCTTTTAACATCAGGACCTAGTGTACATGATGTATACACTATCTATAATATATTATTTAATCATCTTGAAGATATAACTAGAAGGATGGAGAAGAAGAAGGCTCCCTAGAAAAAGTATCTTATTAAGGCCTTGCAAGCAGCCTATAATAAGTTGAGGAAGTACTACAGCTGTACTTATAAGGTAGAAGGGTATGTTTATATGATTATAACTATTCTTAATCCATCCTAGAAGCTATCTGTCTTTCAGAAAGGCTCCTGGGCAGAGGATGAGATTAACTAGTATAAGAAGTACTCTATAACTTTTTATAAACTATTTTAGTACTATAGCATCCTACACCCTAATGCTACTGCCCCTTCTATCCTGCTAAAGTAGAAAGAAGGCCTACAGCAGGCTATCTTTAAGATCTAGAAATAAAAATAAAAACAGGTATCTTAGTCAGGTCAACTCTATCCAGAGTTAGAGACCTATCTTTAAGAAGGTATGATCTACTCCTCTTACTACTATTACATCTAATATGAAGAGATTAGGCACTAAGGTCCCAGAGAGCCTTAACATTCTGGATTAGTGGTGACAGAATACTAGATAATTTCTAATTCTAAGTTAGATGGCATCTGACTTTCTTGCTATCCCATCCAGTGGTATTAGTATTAAATAACTCTTTAATAGTGCTCATAATATTTATTATTACTATCAAGCATGTTTATATATGGCTACTATTGAAGCAATTATAATATAGATATGTACTGATTGGTTTGCTATTACTTAAGACTATGCTAAGTTAAATAATATCTCTAAGTCAGAGCAACTACTTAAGAAATAGGATCTACATCACTATCATGATTAGTTAGCAGGTAAGGTTGATGATATGATGAGCACAGCATATATTAGTAATTATAAGGATATTAATTTCCTTGATGAGATGGATACTACTGCTAAGTCTATAGAGCAGTCAGAGCCTATCTTACCTCAGCCTTCTATACCTGCATTACCTGAGTCTTAAGCACCCTTACATTACCTCTGCAATACTGCACATAAGCCTGGACATTATCGTGAACTAGCTGGCATATAAAGGAAGATAGAATAATGTACTTAAACCTGAAATCTCTTAATGATAGAATGTCTATACTTAAGGACTATAATTATAAAATCTCTTAAAGTTTATACCTTCCTTATTCTTACTTCTAAGAGATGTACAAATAATTAGGTCTGGAGATAGGTTGGATAAACCATGAAATCTATATACCCAGATAATTCTGCTAGTCATGTGCACCTAATGGGTTACCCATATCCATATGGGTTAGATGCCATCCATCCACATCCATGTGGGTTGGATCAGGGTCGACCCCCATCCAACCCAAAGTGCGGATTGGGTGGGTCGGATATGGATTTGCGGATTGGGTCAGCCAGTCTATAAGTAATAACCATATTAATTATAGTAATCTGATGTTAATACTCCTTTTTAATAGTTAAGCCTAGCATGGTTAAGATAGTATTAATTAATATTATATGCTATGGGGTTATATATCCTATCTACTCTAGAGTACCTATCACCTCTTTATCCACTTACTTTTCTAGTAAGTTGCCTCTCACTGTTAATCACTGGCTGCTTATTCTTATACTGTACTAGATTCTTATGCACTAAGCAGTTATATTATTATTACTACTTATTCTAAGCTATATACTGCGCCTAGGTATGCCTTTAGGTTACATATATATACTTTCTCTCCTACTACTCTATAATATTAAGCACCTGATGAGCAGGCCCTTATAACTCCTATTTCACCTTTTTTTATTATAGGTAATTACTAAATTTTTGCTGGAAGTCCTATTCCACTATCTTAAAAGCCTAGTTCATCTTCTCCTAAACTTCTTTTCTTTTATTAACCTTCTTCTGTAATTTACACATAGATGGGACCTTATTAATAATACTAGTATCCTCTAATTTATAAGGCTAATAGGGGTTAATTAACTAGCTTATAAATACTATAAACTACATTAGCTGCTTCTGGGCTAGCAGTCCCTAAATAATTACCTGAGTGTTAATGTGGATGCCCACACTATAATATTTAATAAAAGTATTAATGCTAGCATGCTGTAACATCATATTTTAGAGCTTATTAGTAATATCTACTATTTATCAGATGATGGCTGTGTTAGTATGGACACAGTCATTTCTAGCCTGGTAATAAAGTTAGAGAACTTACAGCTGTTATTAAATACTTTTACTACTCTATAGTAGAGATAGTATAGCTTTATAACCTACTTAAAACCTGTAATTTTACCTCCTTGCTTTATTTAATATTAAAGTGCTCCTTCTATAAGTTATTCTTCTAAGGTGATTTAAATCCCATCTACCTTGCGCACAGCCTAATAGAATATAAATTAATTAAGAATTTCATCCTTTAGTTTTAGTTCTTATTGTCCAAGTCCATCCAATATACTAAGGTTATATAAATTTTTAGGACAATCTACCACTAGCCTATCTTTAGAGAAGTTCTTAAATGCCTTAATGCGAAACAGCATCCCTAGAAGGAATATATAGGGGCTAAGGACTAAGGTTAGGTTAAAGATGATCTTAGGAATAGGGAAAGTATTCCTATATTAAATATAATTAGCTATAATATGCTAGGGGTACCACAAAACTATTAATATTAGAAATAGAAATCTAAACTTACTGTTCCTTCTCACCTAAGAAAGTCTTGGTAAACTCTAGGGTTAAGTAAATAAATAACTAAGGACGCCCTCTATCTAGATTATAGACTAGAGTAAGTAAAAGGTTCTGATAGCATAGGTTCAGTAGTGCTCCTGGGCGGCTACTAGTAATAGCAGCTAGCTAGTAGAAGAGGAGGAGCTAAATCCAAAGCCACCTATACTGAAATATTATCTCTATTATTAATAGAAGAATATGAGCAAACTCCGCCACATCTTTAATATATATGGTTGCTTTTGGTCACTGCCTAGGAAGAAGGCCTTTCTCCTTAGTAACTATCACTAACACCTGTGGACTATTAGCTAAAGCCTTAGCTTTATCTAGACATGGGTTACTTATATCTAGGATTTTGATAGTAGTATCTTTAGTTCTTTACTAAGGCCCTGCCCCACCTCTGCCTTGTAAATAAGATGCTACCACTTCCAAAAGGTCTCTAGTAATATTTTATATTTTATTCCTAGTGTTCACTAGCTATTTTTACTTTATCACTAACTGTATTACTAGGAGAAGAAGGCCTTAAGGAACTAGATTATCTCCTTAGAGTCAGAGAGCCAGCAAAAATATTTAACAGGATTGTATTTTCCTTTGTAGCAGAACCTGGCAAGATAGATAATCTATTAGTATTAGTATTAAAGTTTATACACCTGACTACTTCTCACCAGTCCTAGTAATCTCATGTATTATTTAATCTAGACTGGGTCTTCAGACTATGAAATTTTTATTAGAGCTGCAACATGTTGAGAGATTCAGCCTCTTGAAGGTAGTGTAATATAGAAAGCTCCTATTCTTCCTCCTTATCTAGGATTAAATCATTATTAGAATTATTAGAGTTGTCACTGCTGCTGTCTAGCTCTAATGCACTCTCTGAGCTATTATTAATAGCACTATCTGAGAAGATATTAGGAATGTTGCTGCTTGTGCTGCTATTATTATTAGAATTAATCAGCTCAGGTAAGCACTGCATGGCAGACAAAGAGATTAGAAGGAAGGATATACTTAGTTCTCTAATTTAGAAAGAGTGGATGATAATAGAAGTTGAGCTTCTCTCTTTAGTTATATATCAGGAAGTAAAGTGTAAAGGATTAAGGTATATAGGTGCGATCCAGTTGATCAGATCCGTTAGTAGAGTTGCATTTGGTGTGGGTTCGGGCGGGTTCAAGCCTAGTTGGCACTAAACCGCTGCGGTTTTGGGTTCAAAATTTAGAACTCGCACCAAACCCAGACCTGATGCAATTCAGTTGCAGTTTTCACCGCAAAACCCGCTGCTAGGCCTAGCTAGGCCTAGCTAGGCCTATACTAACTAACCATGGTTAGATTCGGTTCGGTTTCGGGTTGGTTAATAAACCACTAATTTTAACTGTTTTAACCCTTACCATTCCCCCCTTCGGGGACCCCTCTGACGCCCCTATAGAGCATGCTTATATAAAATTATGATTTTTATATGAAATATATGGTAATTATCATCATATTAATCTAGATCTAAAATATGAATTCAATATCTATAGGTTTGAATGGGTGGTGGTTAAAAAATCATTTTTAAATATAGTTGTTGTCAACAGTTGGTCACATATATATATAAACTACCACTACTTTCATACTAACCTATGACAGAGATGAAATTCCCTTATATCTCAGCAACCACTAGGTATTTTTGAATAATATTTATATCACTAGATAGCCTTTGATTCAGGCTATCTAGTGATATTAATATCAATTAAAAATATCTAGAATTTAGTAATTTCTAGGTAAAACGGTTGTGGGTTGGTTAACCTAACTCACAAAACTGCAAAAACTGTAACCAGCGGTTTTAACCAAACTCAAAGTGGTTCCACCCTATGGAAACCGAAACCAGTGCGATTCCCTAGGCTAGGAACCAAACCCAAACCGCTGCGAGTTTGGTGAGGTTCGGGTTCGATTTTTGCGGTTCGGTTATGCAACTCTATCCGTTAGGATCTGGTCATAATGGCCTTTTGGCTGAGTTGGTAGTGGGTTGGACTGGACACCCATCTATTATAATATGACCAGATCCTAACGGGTTAGATAATAGGCTTAGGGTTCGAATCCAGCTGGAGGTAGATTAATTTCTGGTTCCCAGTCCCTACTGGGATAATCGTTCATCGCAGGGGGCGTAGAGCCTTCGAATCGTGTGAGGGTAGGGGGTAGGCCAAAGGCCGCCCCGTACATGTCCCGCTGATATTGAGGGATTCTGGCCCCTTTTATAATTCTACCTAAGCTATGAAGGAACATAAGAATCTACATGGTTATATACATGCTGATGACATCTACCAATATCCTCTGCGCACTCTCATAGACTTAATTAAAATTACACATGTTGATCAATATCACATCCTCCCTTGCTTGGATTGAACTCCGTCCACGGAGTTCTTAGTCAGCAAGCAGAAGGTTAGTCAGCACCCATTATTACAGCCAAATAGGTTTGACTGTTGCCAAGATATATTGATTACCAGATCTGGCATTTAGATAGTATCATTTCTTTATTAAACGTCCATGGACTAACTAAATTGTTCTTTATTCTCTAGCTTTGAAATCAGGGTAGTAGTGGTCAGTGTCTTCTTTATTAATATATAAGGGTTGTAAGTGGATCCCTTCACTTAGTGATATTAATATGCAAGTTGCCTAAGTAATTAGTAATCACTAAGCAGTATAACGTAATCGGTAAGCGAGCGGATCACGCAACCAAGCGGATCACCAAACGCGTTTTGACTTCCATTTCAAAAGCTGCAGTATTCAGCCAGCCACCATGCCACCAAAAGCGCGTACAAACTTGAAAAATTCAGTTGGGCAGGAGGGAAGGATCCTACTTGCAGTATCAGCTTTGAAAAAGAAGGAAATCCTTAATATTTGTGAAGCTGCGCGTGTCTATAATGTGCCTTATACTACCCTCTAGCGGCGCCTAAAGGGGCATACTTTTTAAGCTGAATTACGCGTAAATGGCCATAAAATGACTCAGAATGAAGAGGAATCACTTATTAGATGGATTCTATCTATGGATTAATGTGGAGCAGCTCCCCAACCATCCCATATGTGAGAAATGGCAAATATCCTGCTTACATAGCGTGGTTCAACTCCTACCCAGTGTCACGGGCTAGAAGCCGGTTCAACCTATGACCTAGGTTTGGACGGTAAGAAATCGCTAAGGGAGAAATCTAGCTAGGGCCGCGGCGGCCAAACATAAAAAGGAGTGTGCGAATGGTTCTTGTGGTTACGTGACCGGGCAGATTGTTACATTAATTAGTATGAGGTCACGTGACCTACAGCTGGTGTCTAGTTTGGATGTGACTTCGCGAGGGCTGTATGATTTGATCAAACAGCCCAAGCACCCAGCAGGCCCTGCCTGCTACACTACCCCCCCCTTTCCCCTCTGGGGTGGTGGCTCTCCCAGGCGTTGAGTGCTACTGTGTTGGCAAGGTTGACAGCGGGCTCCCATGTAGGGTATTCATAGCCTATCTATTTGACCAAGTACTCTGTGCAGCAGCCTCACCTAATGTGCCTCTCACGTTCCTCTAAGATCTCTTTGACTGCGTATTCAGCCTCGCCATTAACTAGCTTAGGGGGCGGCTGGTAATCATCATTCAACTGGCTCGGGAACGGGTCGTTCGCGGCGGGATGTAGGAGGCTGATGTGAAACACATTATATATGCCTAGTGGTGTATTTAGTTAGTAAGCATGTGACCCAATAGCCTCTACCACTGTGAACTTTATATGCTGCGCGTTGAGCTTCTAGCTTGGGCAATCTGTCTAAACATTCTGCAGGTCTAACCATACTTTGGAATTGACAGCATAGCGTGGGGCCGCTAAGTGAGAATAGTTTGAATATTCTTCTTAATACTGTTAGGCGGTAGTGAGCTCTAACTGGGCTATATTAGTAGCTTCCCTTATCTTTGTCATGATTACTTCAGCCCTCTCCTTTGGTGAGCAGGCTGTGTTTACAGTGGTAGCTTCCTGATCTAGTAGTTTGACTTCTAATGGTTTAATGTTGTATCCATGATCTAGGAAGAATGGACTGACTCCTATGCTTATAGTGTCTTAGCTATTAATAGTGAGCTAGGCTATTGGTAATAATGGCTTCTAGTTAGTCTGGGCGTAGTTGCAGAAGTTCTATAGGTAGGCTTCTAGTATAGTGTTTATTTGTTTAATCTGCCCATCCATCTGCGGATGAAAGGCTGTTGAGAGCTGTTATTTAATGCCTAGCTGCTTGCAGAAGTGTTCCTAGAATTAGCTAATAAACTGTGGACTGTGGTCTGATATGATCACGCTAGGGATGCCATGGTATCTAATAAACTAATTAATTAACAGCTGCGCTACTGTCTTGGAGTCTATTTACTTACAGGGCACTAAGATTACACCCTTTCTAAGCCTGTTACTAATCACCATGATGTCCTTGCAGCTATTAGAGGTAGGCAACTTTGTGATAAAATTAATGGCAATCTCACGCCACTTATGGTCTGGAATTAGCAATGGCTTTAACAGTCCCTAGCATTATTTATGCTATACACAGTTAGCACCATACTTATCACAGTTCTGCATAAACTATCAGACATCTGCAGAGAGCTCTGGCTAGTAGAAGTTCCGGGCGATCATTGCATACAGCGTGTTCTTTCCAGGGTGGCTGGTTAGCACTAAGTCATGGGTCCCTTGTAAGATTCTTGTCTATAGCAGCTCTGAGTTAGGGACCCATTTATGGCTTTGGTATAGTAGATGACCATCTGGTGATATCAAGCATTTGGCAATTGACACCTGTATGCATAACTTGCTAGGGAACCGCATTGCCCCTTCCTCCACAGCCTGTTATATTTTGTTCAAACTGGCATCATCTAGCTGGGCCTCTCTCCAGTGTTCTTCTAGTAGCAGGGGTGTCTTGTTGGTATGTATAGCTAATGTAGTCATGTGATGGGCCTGATTATTACATTAATTACTATATTTATTTAAAGAACTCATGTCTAGGCTGGACACCACTTTATGGGTGCGAAACACCTATATATGCATTCAGCCGGCGACAACCTTTAGAGGTACTAGGCAGCGGTCGCAGGCCTTAAGCCTATTATCATCTGTGTCTTGTGGCATGTCCTGTTCCCTTTACAACAGAGCATTAGGGCAAGCAGCTAGTTTCCTGGGCTGGTAGTGCATCTTATAGTTAAATCTACTTAGTGTCTGTGACTAGTACATTTATTGTTCATTAAGCCTTTAGACAGTCTTAAAGTACTTAAGGTTGCAGTGGTCTGTAATGAGCTTAAATTATAGTAAACTAATTAGTTCTAATTCCCATTCCCTAAGAGCGTTGATGATAGCTAGTAGCTCCTTGTCATGGATCTTGTAGTTGCACTCTATTGGTGTATTCTTCCTAGAGATGTAGGTGACTGGCCTTAGTATGCTATTATTATTATATTGTGACATGGTGGCCCCTATTGCCTAGTTAGATGCATCTATCTTAATGACTGTCTTCCTATCCGGGTTGAACTGCATGAAAATTAGGGCTGTAGTGAACATCTTCTTTAATAATTTAAAGGCCCTTGCCTGCTTGTCTCCCCACATAAAGGGGGCTCCCTTATGGGTTAGAGCTGTTAATAGTTATACTATCTCTAAGAAGTTCTGTATAAACTATTAATAGAAGTTTGCAAAGCTAAGGAATGATCACACACTGCGAGCTGATGTAGGGGCTTGCCATTCTAATATAGCTTTCACCTTGTCTAGATCCATCTGTACTCCCTTACCAGCTTTAATAATAAAACCAAGGTATTTCATGCTCTTTACTTTAAACTTACACTTATTAATATCAAGTTACAGCCCTGCGTTCTTTAAATACTCTAGTACTTGGCGGATATGCTGCTGGTGCTTAGTTAATAATCTATTAGTAAAAATCAACACATTGTTGATGTACGCGGACGTGAACTCATCTAGGAAGTCCTGAAGGGTCTAATTTATATACTATTAGAAGGTGCTCGGTGTGTTTGCCATGCCAAAGGGGGTAATAAGCCATTTAAACAGGCTGAATTGTGTGCAGAAAGCTGTCAACCA